AACTTGGTAAGAAAGCCCATGGAGGAGCTCCACAGATGGTTTTTAAAGTAGATTCTACACCATGGGGTAATTTCTCCTTGAAAATGTACTGTATGTGGTCCATGTACTCATTTCTGTGTTTGTAAAGGGTAATCAGCGATTATGCAATTGAACATTCCAGTCACCCCAGGGCATTCTGTGTTTTTAAAAGAGTGTTTATGGCCATCTCCTGCCAAACAACCATAATACCACTTAACCTCAGTTCAACCACTGCTTGAATGAACTTGTTAGGATTACACTGAAATACAGATGCAAAACAAATAGGAAGCCAAGTAATGTGATGTCCACATAAGGAAACAGGAAAAATTCTTCACACAAGGCTCCTTAGTCACTAAAACAGAATATATAAGAGAATTTAAAATTTTATAAATTGAAAATGTTAATGTAAACCATAGAGAAAAACAAATTGTAAAATGTACAAAAGGAAATGAATTACTCTAAAACATAGGGTAGATCATCTCAAAAAGAAGCCCAGGTGGATGGCAATAAAATACAACACTGTTTACTTCGCGAGTAATTTCATAAATCTGGAAATAGAAGGATAAAAAGAGAAATTTTTAAAAATGTATTGTTTAGGGAAGATTATCATACATTTGATTTGTATCTATGCATACAATATGTAGAAATACTACTTCCTGTGATCCAACCCCTGCAAGAGACCAAACTAATTTTAAAATTCTAAACAAGCCTACACAAGAAGGTGAGCCAATATACTTTTTCTCTTCCGTCAATCAACAAATATGTATTGGCCAAAAATATTTCCTCTAAAAGGAAATATTCTCTAATACCAAGAATGAGACTGTGATAACATCTAAACTATGGTTTATCATGTTTTCAAACCTTTTAACAAAATAAAAAGCATAGCAAATAAGACTGAAATTCTACCAACAGATTTGTTTCAACCATTCAGCTATCAAATCTCAAGCTCATGAAGCATTAAGAAAACCAAATGTAAATTAAAATAGTGGCTCAGGCGTGGTGGTGTAGCCAAGCGTGTAATCCCAGCCCTCAGGAGACTGAGGCAAGAGGACCACTGGAGTTGAAGAACAGACTGGCTACCAAATGAATTCAAGACCAGCCTAAACTGCACAGTAAACCCTGTCTCAAAAAAAAAAAAAAAAAAATGGAAAAAATGGTGACACCTCCTGACCTTCAGACTGTATTGTATCACTATTGGGAAATGTGACAAGTGTACACAAAGAATATGTGTGAAGCCACACTTTTGCTAAAATTCAATATGATCATTACTGAGAAATAACCACCCAAAACTCCTGAAAACACTCACTCATTCCTATACATGTCAACATGCTTAAAAACTGTAAGAATGCATTCTGTTTCTCTCATCAATAGGTATGAACCATTTCCATCTTCCACTGGTCCTGAAAAAAGAAGCCTTCCCAGAAATGTTCTCCTTATTACTCAAGTTAAGGGGAAGCATTACTAGAACTGCATTACACAATTCATCTGGCCTGCCAATGCCAAGTGTTCTTGCAAGCATTTCTTACAGTAGTGTTACTCAAGATAACAGCTGAGTAAATGGACTGCTTAGCTTAGTCATATCTCACCAGTGAGAGCCAACCAAGCACCTCCCCTCCCTGGTAAGCGGAGGCAGTGGGGCAGACTGCAGACCTTCCAGGGGGAGAACCAACAGCAGCTCCTGAGATCCGTGCCATGTTGGAACTGAGGAAGGTATGAAACCAAATGACTATCTTACCTCCCTGCTAAGCAATAGTGAACCTACTGCTACATGGCCTAGAGTCACTCACTGTCCTTCAATATGGAAATATGTAGAAAATGCAGCCAAAAGAACTAGAGGGATTTATATAATCTAATATGGAGTGATCTAAGACATATGGATGTTTTTAAAGACAAATAATCAGACACCACTTCAGACAACCAAAAATATTTGTTATGTAGATATTTTTTCACTTAAATACATACACAAAAGATTGAAAATATGCAATTAACAGTTACCTCTAGGTCTTAGACTTGAACTTGAGGCAATTCTGCGTCAGGCTCTAACGTGCTAGGATCACAGGCTTGTACACCTGGCTTTTCTGGGTCTTAACTCCATATAATTTTCTGTTATTTGATTATCTCAGTGAAACTATATTTCATTTGCATAAACCATGAACCTCAAGGAAAAGTTAGCCAAAAATGCAGCAGGCTTTAAAAAAAGAAAGTTCAGAAAGCACCCAACAGTTTATAAAGGCCTTTACCGTATTACCTAATTAATTTGATTCCCACGATAAGCAGCTAGAATCCAGGAAAGTAACCTTACCTTAACGTAAGAACAGTGATAGTGACCTCAAGATTAGAGCTCAGGCATGGAGATGCTTGCCTATAACCCTGGCTACTTGGGAGAGCCAGGAAGATTAAAAATTAAAGGCTAGTCTGATCAATGTAATGATCTTGTCTCAGAATAAAATTTTAAAATTAGCTCAATAGTATAGTGTTTGCTTAGCAAGCACTGGGCCTTAGGTTGGAGAGCCAAACACAACTATGGTCCTTTTATCTGTAAAAATCAGTGATCTGGTCTGCAGGCTATGTGCTATTGCTACAGAAGGCTGGCCTCTATACCAAAGCTCTTTGAACCTATATAGTGCTTCTGTTCACATGGAAGTTCATAACATAGAGGAAAAGGTATTAATTAAAGTAGGATTCAAAGTCCTGGACTAATCTTGAGTATACCACCACTAAGATTTGATAGTAACTCACTCTACAATAACGACTTTCTGTGGCTGCACATCAGATTCAGTGGTGATGCTTTTAAGAAATAGTAATCCCCACATTCGATCTCCAAAAATTAGGATTTATTAAGTCTGAGCATAAGATCATATATTAAAAGTAACCACGTTATGTTCATATGCAGCTTTAGGACCAGCTTTAGAACTTGATATTCTTACCTGGTAGAAATAAACATCACTGTGCTACATAATTCAGTTAAAATGAAGAAGGCATGCAGTAATACATAGGAAATCCCCTTATAAATAATCAAATGCCTTCTGTAAAACCAATTACTTTTTATTAATTCAAACATGCACTGTATCTTCTGTGTGCCAGGAATATGCTCAGGAATAAAAGTCAAAAATCAGAAACAAGCTCACTGTCCCTTCAATACGGGAATATGTAGAAAATGCAGCCAAAAGAACTAGAGGGATTTATATAATCCTGGGAACAAGGGAGAGACGACAACCTCAATAAGGTGGGAAACTACTATGTCTTCAAACAACTGCTGAGCAGAGGAAAAAGGCACAGCAATGGCACAAGGATGGCCTTGACTAATAAGACCCACAGGGTTGAAAGCATGTAGAGGTGATGGGGGGATTAAAGAAGGCTTACACAGAAGAGACCCACAAGCTAGATCTTCGCATTCTAAACAAGACCCATCACATGCAGGTGAGTCATTCAAGATGACTGAAGATATATGGAGATGAGGTTTACAGAAACTATAAGAACATAAATAGGTCAGAGGAGGCTGGGGCCAAGAAATATTTTAGGAAAATGGAAATATACTGTATCTTCACTGTGGTCATAAAATTACAGGCATTTATCAAAATAGCACTATATACTGGCTGGACTTTCCAATATAGAAATTGTACCTCAATAAACCTATCATCCAAAAATAATGATATTTGCTATTTTAGTTATATAGTCAATGCATTCCAGAAGCATAAAACTGTGCCAATGTCATTACTCTGCAGCAAATGAATATGCACTTGTATATTCATAAGCTTAAAATTTTCTCCATTTCAATTTGTAATATAGTAAATAGTGATGAATGTAATAGACATATACAGAAAGTCTCTGGAGCCAACAATTTTTAACAGTGTAAAGGGTTTTTAAGTTTGAAAACCAGTGCTGTAAGTAATGGGGAGGCCCTGAAGTGCGCTAAGCAAGAAAAATAGGAAAGAGGGATGCACGGAAACTTAAGAACTTACTGTAGGATCTGGTTAATAAGGCTGATCTTGGAAAGGATAAGAAAGAAAGCAGGTATACACATTATCTGCAGCTTGTCATAAATCCCAGAGTTTTGTCTCTACTGGATGGTCTCTTTGTTAGCATATAAAGTTTTCTGTTAACTTCTAAAGTAGTTAGAAAATGAAGTCCGCTGTCAAAGTCTTCCTGCACTGCATTACTGATTTTTTAGGTTATTCGCATTGGCACACTCAATTGCCACTGGCCCTCTTCAAATGATGCCAATAATTTAAATTTGACTTTTAAACATTTTAAACTTGAAAAGCAGCCTTCTTAAAGAGATACTATAGGTAACTACATATTTCATGACCAATGAGACAAATTAGGTAGTTATTTAAAAATCTGTATTACTTCTCTAAATTGTATTTTCAGTTGTATTCAGAAACAATGACAATCTTAACTTAGCACAGGTTTTTCTACGCAATGTCCACTTGAAGAAAATTTGCTCCTAAATACTAGCCCAGAACATTCCAAATTATCTTGAGTATAGATATCTTTCTGTAATCTTCTCATGCCCAAAACTATTATAGCACTGTGGTGTGCCACAAAGGTCAAGAAATCATTCTTAAAACCATCATTCATTATGCTTTAAATAAATAGAAAGATAGATGGATGGATGGATGGATGGATGGGTGGATGAATGATCAACCAATCATGTAATGGAAGTGGTTAAGTATTAGAAAAATGATCTTCCCACATACATACATAAAAAACCTCAACTACAGTTTTGTAAGCCATTTTAAACGTGCATGTACATGTGTGTTTTAACTAACACTTGTATATTGCTTCTCTAATTGTTTTAAGTAGCCAACTACACTAATTTCTTTAGTTAATAATAAACAGATGGAAATCTATCTGAAGAATTTGATTTACAACCTTTTAAAAACTTCATCTGTATTTCTACCTCAGAAGTCTAAGGAACTCCAGACTTCTGCCAAAGCAGTCCTTGTGTTATTAAAATAAAAATAAAATTAGACCCTTACCTGAAAGTAGAGTCCTTTTGATTCTATCTTTTCTAAAAATCTTGAAAATTAGGCTACTGACAGTACTACAGGAGATTCAAATATGAAATTTCACCTATGGATTGAAAAGGGAAAATAATTAAATACATGCATAAGACTGAAACATCAGTTTAATCAAAGGTGAATTTTCTGTATACTTGTTAAAGCCAAAAGGTTTCTGCAGGAAATCTGTCTTCTGTGATACAGATCTAAAATGGAAAGTGTGGGTAGTCCTTCCTGGCTCACCATTCAGAATTGGCCAATGGACTGGTGGACCAGACAGCTTTAGCTCCAACTCTAGCCTTTCACCTGCCCTCACACTGCCACACCTTAGAAAAATGAAAGAGAAACAAAGGCACTTCAGCCTCAAAGCCAGTCTCTGCCAAAAAAAACTTTGACTTATTCTCCTTAAACCACATTCAGATAAACTACCAAGTTTTTCAAAACCTGAAATCCAGAAATGTGAAAAACAACAAGAACAAGTAAGTCTTTAAAACTGTCTTGCACTAGAGCTGTGATTTCTTGATCTGTTGCTGGATTTTAGAGCACTAGAGATCGAACCCTGGGCCTTGAGCATGCTAGACAAGTGGAGAACTGGGATTTCTAAAGAACAGAAACAAATAAACAGACAAACAAAAAAGGCAAACTAAGCTTTCTCAGCTATTGTGCTCTAGTGGCAATGTGAATGTGAAACAGTGGCTTGACAGCCAGCTAGTCTAGCCTTAGCTGAGCTTCTTCCCACTCACAGTACACTCATATTTGCCAAGATGTACATGACCACAGATACCATATGTAAACTAGTAACCATATGACTGCCAGAATGGAATGCAAATCCAATGATTCTATGGGAACACTGTACCTGCATACCCATCAAGAGGGTAAACAAGCTGAGGGATAACTGAAAACACAATACATCCTCTGGGAGAAAAAGACTACAATAAAAGAATACCTGGAAAAACAATTATGGATTTGCTACTGCCCAGCTAAATCTGAAATCCTTAAATTAATGGGAAAGTTGAAAATATAAGACAGTAACAAATTCAAACTTAATATAGGGATTCCAAGTGACAAAATACTCAGGAGGATCAATGATCACATTTCTTTTTTTTCTTTTTCGCACCAGGGATCGAACTCACCACCTCACTTGTCAAGCAGGCGCTTACACCGCTGAATTAAAAATCTCTGGCCCAGTGGTCCCATTTCTAGAGATTCCAGGCCTAACCTGAAAATTGCTCATGTCTCTAGAAGCTTCTTATCAAAAATGCTAACAAGACTGCTTAGCAGGAACAGATCCTTCACAGGCCACCAGAAACTGTATAATAACCCTTTACACAGTTACTCCTCTGTCAGTTACAAGACAAAATCTCAGCGTGAGGAACACCTGCTCCTAAGATACTCATCTCAAAACTGTTTCATTAAGCAACACTGGAATGTAAAATATGCATACTAGCTGTACATTTGCATTTTAGAAAATATCTGTGTGGCACAACTAAGCATATTATGAGCAAATACAGATTAGAGGCTTTTAGAGGTAAATGAGTGATCCCAATACCCATTACCACCGTAATACCCTCAGTTTTACAGATAGAATTTAAATCTCCAGACTACCAGCCCAGAGCTCCTGCTTTTATACCATTTTCCAATGTAGTGAGAAAACAGTATTTTGGAGCATGTTAAAATTGAGTTATGCCTCACAGATGCATATCAAGATCTCATTTAACCATGTGCAGCAAAAGAAACAATTTACATAAAAAACAAGAAGTAAAAACCTAGAATGGTAAAATACTTGCACAGAATGCTTAATAAAGTTCTGGGTTCAATTCTCAGAGAACCACAAAACTTCCCAGGTATCTCCAGTTGGAAGAGTATAGTGGGGTTGGCTGTGTTTCTCCATACAAATATGGTCTAAATTTATCCTCAGAAAAAAATATGCAAAGTATCTAATAAAAAAACAGAATATGATGTCTTTGGGCCAGGGATTTAGCTCAGCAACATAAGCACCTGCTTGGCAAGTGCTAAATTGTGAATTTGATCCCCAGTACCAAAAACAACAACAACAAAAAAAAAAAAAGACAGAGAGAGAGAGAGAATATGATGTTTTCTTTTCCTTATACAGGATGTTGAAAGGGGCAAAGCAACAATCCTTTCTTCTCAAATTGAAGTTTAAAATATTTTCTAAGTAAGATACTTTTGCTGAGTTGTAATTAATTTCCTATAATATCCTTAACTTCAGAACGATAAAACAGACACAGTAACACTTCCTTCCCCATGGTATTTTGCCTTGTAACTTTGATTTCTGAACATTTCTTCAAAGGCAATAGTCTAGGATGATCTTATACCTGTATTCTGTTCATTTTCTCAACTTCCAAGTGACAATTTCTCAATAAGTACATTTTTGCATGACTAAAAAAATGTGCTTATACATCTAAAAACAGGAAGACTTACAATTTAAACAGGACAAATTATCTGCATGGCTTCTTAAAATTTTTCAAATAAAACATAGATTTCAAAGCAAATAATTGAGTTTTGCTCCCAGAGTTAGCCCCAGAGAGGCCTCTCCCACTAAGGAAAATGCATGACAAAAATGAGTCCCAATTTTGCCATTTACTTAGCTGTATGCTACTGGGCAAGTCACTTCAGTTCTGAACTTAAACATATATAAAAAGTCAACTTATTTGATTTCCAAGCTATTTTTATGCTTTTTAATATCCTTCTAAGACACTGTGTATGGTCTTTAGCTCCCTTGAATTCTAAAACTGGTATCTTTAATTATAATGAACATTTATAAACTACCTTATGCCTCAGGACTTAGTGAAGTAAATGAGAATCTTAGAACATTACAGACTTTATCTTCATTAAGTATACATCCTTGTCTCATGTTTTAGCTTCTCTAGAAAGGGTCAGACTAACAGATTCACACTGGCACATCTGGATGATTCAGCTGAAGAAAATTCCAACTCTGCCAAGGTAAAAGATCTTGATTCCTCCCTCTTCCTTCACTAATCATTCCTCTATCACCTCATACTCTGAAACTCAACTTTTTGCCATAGTGTTGACAATGAATCTGTGTATCTACTTTTATCATTTAATACTCTAGATGTTAACAACTTTTCTTCTGAATCTAGAGTTCTTTGTTTAATGCCAAATTAGGAAGTTCCAGAAAACTGTACATAACACAATTCACACAATTTATATTCTGTGTATACCAACTGATTATTTTGCCATTCTCAGTAAGTCTATATCTAACCAATGGAACTGAGAATTGGTCATTTTACTAGTAGAGATCCTAAAAATTAGCTCTTTTTGCCATATCATTCATATATTTATTCAATACTATTTAACAAGCACTATTCCTCATTCTTGCTGGAGTTATACAACTGACAAAAGTCTGCCTTCATGAAGCTTGTATTCTAATGGAGAAGATACATTAATAACCTGAATAATTAATAAACAGACAAATTATACAGAGGATATATATATATATATATATATATATATATGTAAAATGTTAAAAAGAGACATGTGTTACTGAAAAGATAAAAGGCATGCAGGTTGGATAGCAGGCAACTGTAGCCCCAGCAATTCAGAAGGCTGAGACAAGGGGGATCATTTAAGCTCAGAAGACTGGGCAACCCAGTGCCATCTGGCAAAAGGAAAAGGAAAAACAAAGGGAAAGAGGAAAGGAGAAGAAAAGGAAAAAAGCATAGGACAGCAGGATAAAGGGATTCAGGGATGAATGGGAAGACAGGTGAGCTGCAATCTTCTGTTGGCTTGGGTCAGAGTCAGACTCACAAAGGCAGTACCGTATCTGAGCAAAGGCACAAAGGAGATGAAGTGAGCCAAGCTGAGATTTTCCTAATAATTCTTAAGTAGTGGAGGCTATGCATGTAATGATGAATGCCTTGGCAAAAATACTGTGTCAGAGCAAATTTATGAACAACCCAGGTGAGTAAACAAAAGAGAGCTGTGTGTAAACCCCTTCATTTTTACTTATTATTGCATCAAGGAAAACTTAAAATCTTCAATTAGGCATTCTTAATGCATTTTCCCCCAAGTGTTGTTTGGAAAAAAAATTCTTCTGCAACTCATCTTCCTCAAAACTCAAGAATATCCAAGTGTCAGTGTCACACATAAAAGAGCACCAGTGTTATCCAGCTAAAAATTTCACTAAGATATTCCTATAGAAGGACTCAAATCTCCAGCAGGGAACTCCAACAGGAACTCAAGCTTCCTGCCAAACGTGGAAACAACTCTCTTCCCCACCCCTAAGGTAGAAAGAAAAGGCCTCAGCTATGAAACCAGGAGGCCTTTTCACCAACTAGCTATCACCTTGAGCAAATCATCACACTCCTTGAGTTTGGCTTTCTAAACTAAAAAATCTTGATACTGATTTCTTTTTTTTTTTTTTTTTTTTTTTTTTTTTTTTTGCGGTACTGGGGATCGAACTCATGACCTCGTGCTTGCCAGGCAGGCACTTATGCCACTGAGCTAAATCCCCAGCCCTTGGTACTGATTTCTAAGTCCCCTCTAGAACTAACTAATTTTAGAAAAATAGCCCTATAGGTTAATAATAATGTTATTCTGTACAACTCTGATAACCCACCATCACAGATTCATATTGACTTACTCTTCTGCAATCAGTAATCAATTTACAACTCACTGAAAATCCTCAATTCTATCTGATCAAAATAAATTCACTAGAACGGGCCCTGAAATGCAGTGGACTCCACCAAGGACAAAAAAGACACAATATCTCTCCTGTCTTTGGCTTTACTCTCAACACATTCTTGCTAGCTTAACAGAATCCCTAAGTAACATAACCATTAAAATTACATTTAAATGCTCTTTATTTACAGGTATAAAAGCTCATTTCCTTAAGTCATTTACAATCTCACACTATTGATTCCTATTATATTATATATAGTACAAAAATTAGTATTATTTTAAATAGTTGCTATCATAGGTATCTGTTATTCATGGATCCCAGAATTATCTTCATTCCATTTTCACCTCAGTTTTCTACTGTGGAAAGCTCACTCTCCCAATATGGAACTTAAATACAGAAGCAAACTCACA